TATCAGATGTTTCAAATGACAAAATGCTTTTCGTGTCGTGATATAACGTGATGTGGTCCCTCGTACGGTGGCGTGCATGCGTGATGTGCTGCATCTAAATGTACGAAAACGTGAGAATATGTGGCCAATTTTTTAATATAAATACCTTTTGATAGCCATGTCGTGCACCGAGAACTGGAGCGAGATCGGCAAAATGATTCCTCAGTCTGTCGGCAATTGTTGCTGGCGGTATGCCGCGGTTTCGAGCAGGAGCGAGGAATTCTCCTGGTAGTCGAAGTGGTTTACCAAAAATGATATCAGCAGGCCAGGCGTCAAGATCGTCTTTCCACGCTGCGCGAATACCAAGAAGCACGGTGGAGAGAGTATCCACCTAGTAAGGACTCTCACGACACCGTATTGCTGCTTTAATTTGGCAATGAAGACATTCTACCATGCCGTTGGATTGTGAGTGAAACGCCGTCATGCGAATGTATCTGCTTTCTGTACGACGAGTGAGAGCGTTAAAGAGTTGACTCTCGAACGGTGCCCGTTGGTCTGTAGTGGTGCAAAGTGGAACACCAAACGGCAGATCCAGATTGCATAGAGTATACTAACAATAGTTTCAGTAGTTATGTCATGAATTGGGAATGCTTTCGGAAAATGTGAAAATCTGTCGATTATTGTTAGACAATAACGGTATCCTTTGGACGGCACATATGGTCCAATGATGTCCACGTAAATGTGTTCAAAACATCTTGTTCTTCTCCCGGAAAAGTCTTGAATCGGCGAGGTCACGTGACGCGATATTTCATTTTTCTGGCACGCGAGACACGGGGGAGCCCAAAAACGGCAATCTTTCTTCAAATTCGGCCAGACGAAATGTTGAGAGACTAGCGTGATTGATGCATTAGCCCCTGGAGGGCTGACGCTATGCAGAGCTTCAAAAATTCTCTTACGTAGCGGTGACGGCACATAGGGACGAATCAGCTGATCGTCAACGTCACAGTAAATTGGAGTTGGACTATTTTGGCATGTTGATAGGTCGTAGTTGGAGGATGTAATTTTGATCTTACAGATGTTGTTGAAGTTCGGCATCCGCTGCTTGCGCTTGTGTTGACTCTAGTATCGAGACAGCTGGTGAAATGGTCTCGACTCGCGATAAGGCATCAGCAACAACGTTGTCCTTCAAAATCAAATCAAAATTAAAGGGTCGGGACTGTCATGGGGTCACCTTGTATGGATCCTGTTTGAAGGCATGCAACAGCGGCTTATGATCGGTATAAATGGTCACGTGACCGTCTTCGGAAATGCGCCTGAACTTACGAACTGCTACGTAGATTGCGTGAAGCTCTCTGTCATATGGGCTGCGCTTCCTCAGGGAGAGTTGAAGCTTCTTACTGAAAAAGGCAAGCGTCTCCCAAACGGTACCTCTGCGTTGTTGAAAAATGGCATCAATGGCAAATTCAGATGCGTCTGTAAATACGGCCATGACGTATCCGAGTAGACCAGCAACGTTCAGTCTTGCAATTGTGTCTCGGAGGCGTTGAAAGCGGCTTCTCCTTCTGGAGTCCATGGAACTGGCTGAGAACCCTTGACTTTGAACCTTGAAGGCATTCGTGAAGGGGTGTCTGTGATAGTGCAGCATCTTTAACGAATTTATGATAAAAATTAATTATTCCGTGGAACTCATGTAACTTTTTGATCTTCGCAGGTCGTGGGAAGTTGACGATGGCTTCAACTTTTTCTGAAAGCGGACGAATTCCTTCCACCGATATACGATAACCGGGAAAGTCAACCTCTGGTTATCCAAAATGGCATTTAGCCGTATTGATGATGACCCCATACTCTGCCAAGCATTGAAATAGTATGTGGAGATGCTTCCGGTGTTCTTCAAGGTCTGTGGAGATAACTAACAAGGAACACTAGGGAGGTGTTCCACTCCGATTTCGTTGAAACTCACATATGTTGTAAAGGACTCAAAACTAAAGGACATTTTTTTTTATCGGCTAATACGCGGCTTTAAAGGGTGAAACCATGGTCAGAATGTGACCACCTTCAGGGGTGATCTTTCAATTCCACCTATAAGGAGAATATTTTCACAAATATTAATTACGGTAATAAATCGCTTGTGAGAAATTATGAAGATCACAGTTAATATTTCCTCCGGGGGTTGAAATTTGGGAGCCACACCGGATTTTTTTTTGTCTGGGAAAAATCATTGAGTAGGTGCATTTTGAACCACTACATATAGACAGTGATCATGCAAAATTTCATTGCCCTGCCACTTTTTGTTTCTGAGATAATCATTATGAAACTTGAAAGTTTCAAAAAATCATTACTTCTGAATGGAGCATCCGATTTTGATAAATAAAAAAAGAAAATTTTAGTTTTTTCTCGTACTTCAAGATAAAAAATACTAGAGCCATCAAGAAGCTCCTAGACCTGTTTTTCGAGAATTTTTCGCGTTTTCATTTTTTTTCACTATAGGGCCGCTCGATATTCGCTCGAAATATTTTTTATTTTTTTTTCAAAGGAATTTGTTGCGAGCAAGCTCACAACAGGCCATTGCCCGAGGGCCTTCAGCCAGAAAAACCCATACTGATACAAACCTTTATGAGTTGACAGTGCTGATCACGCCGTCCGTATGCAAAAACTTTGTCAACCAAATTTTTCATTATCACAAACAACTTAACAAATGTATGTCAAATAATTCCGTGAATTCAATATAAACAGTAGTCATGAAATAATTTTGCAGAGCGCTACATTAGCGCCATCTGTCGCGAATTGAAAACAACAAAATGCTACCCTATGCCAAAGCATCTGAAGGAAGTCATAGAAGGCGTCGGTGGCGCAAGTCTTCACAAACACATCCAAACCATACCATTAATGCTAGTCAACATTTAAATGTTCGTTAGTGGAATTTAATGATCCGATCATATACAGGGTGTCCCTGAAGTACATGCCGATCCGAAACGGGCAGGTTCACGGGGTGATTCTGAACAGAAAAGTCCTTTTGCACTTTTTGATCAGAAGCACCCCTGAGGAGTTCTTAGGGTGAGAAGGACAGCCAATGGCGCTACAGCGTTCAGCAGCTGTACGCCCGTATGGCTGTGCGCATCAGTGTGCGTGATGCTCCTTCCACTGAGCAGGAGGCGGGATAGAGTTCCCCTTCCACTCGTGAGCGAGAAAGAGAAGGAACGATACTTCTCTGTCGCTCTTATTATGTATTTGGAGTGGATTACGAAAGAGAAAAAAAAAGATTCTTTCCTCTCTCGCTTTGAGTAAACAATTAATAATTATTAATTATTTACGGAATCCCCACAGCTCTGATGTTTCCTTTTGGTGGAATTTTGCTAAAAAAAAATATTTTTGCAATTATCTTGTAAACAAATGGGTTTACAGCATTTTGCAAAAAAAAATTTTTTTGTAGAAGATCAACTTTCCTACAAAAAACGTCCTATGGTGTAATAACGTAAACCCAATAGTTTATTAAATAATTACATAACAATGTTAATTATATTTTTGTAATTATTTAATAAACTACTGAATTTAGGTTATTTCATTATAAAACGTTTTTTGTAGGAAATTAGATTCCCTACAAAAAATAATGAATGGCAAAATGTTGTAAATTCATTTGTTTACAAGATAATTGTAAAAAAGTGTTTTTCAACAGTGATAATTGTAAAACAGTGTTTTTCAAAAATCCACGGAAATCAGAGCCCGTCCCTTTCCCATTTTTGACACAATTGTTTATTTGGACATTTAGCCATGGTCGTAGCTATGGGATGGACGTTGGGGATTGTCAAACGTCACGAGGGTCACTTGGGGAAAAGTCAAACGTCACAAGGGTCTTTTGAGAATGGCCAAACGTCACGACGGTCATTTGCGGATGGTCAAACGTTAGGAGGGTGAGTTGGGAGAGAGTCAAACATCACAAGGGTCATTTGCGGATGGCCAAACGTCAGGAGGGTCATTTAGGCGCGAATCAAACGTCACAAGAGATACTTGGGGGACAGTCAAACGTCACGAAAATCACTTGGGGTAGAGTCAAACGTTACGAGGGTCATTTGGGGAAGAGTCAAACTTCACAAGGGTCATTTGCGGATGGTCAAACGTCACAAAAGTCACTAGGGAAAAATCGCAATAGTTTTCGGGGAAAATTTGAATTATTGACAATTCAAGAGATGCAATATTTCAGATAGCCTAGAAGCTTGACAACAACAGAAACAATTTCCAAAGTTGCTACTTCCACAATACACATGGTGTTAAATGAGACATCGATAATTTCACCATTGTCCCTACATTGGCTTTTTCCACTTGTAATTCTCACGAGCCTTGTGAGCCTCAGACTCTAAAAATAATTTTATTTTCCGCCAAGTGACCCTCGTGAGGTTTGATTGTTTCTTCAAGTGACCCTCCTTACTTTTGTCTCTCCCTCAAGGTACCCTCCTAACGTTTGACCATCCACAAGTGACCCGTTTGTAGTTTATAGTGTTTCGGGGGGCAACGGGGCGGAAGCTGCTCGAATCCACGCAGAGCAGTTCCCAAATGGTGTGGTGCCTGATCCACGTACCTTCAGGGATGCTTTTCAACGGCTGAGGGAGGGTAAAGTCCTCCCAAGGCACGGCGAAAGACGCCCAAGATGAGCAGATCACGTGGAGTTGGAGGAGGAAATTCTCGAGTGTGTCGAAGAATATCCAGGAATGTCCATCCGGGGAATCGCATCGGCATTACACACGGACCGTTCCACGGTTCATCGTGTGATGAAAAGTGAAGGTTTCCATCCATGGAAGTACACGCGTGTTCAGGAGCTGAAAGCAGAAGATTTGCTGACGCGTGTGGAGTTCTGCCAATGGCTCCTTGACAGAAGTCGCGATTCCGATTTCATACGCAACGTTTGCTGGACAGATGAGAAACTTTTCGTGAGAAAGGGCATCATCAATCAGCACAATGAGCATCATTGGGCTATTGAAAATCCTCGTCTCGCGAAAGAATCGAACTATCAGTATCGTTGGGACAGTATGAACATCTGGGGAGGAATCATTGGTGATGAAGTCCACATTTATCACTTACCAGAACGTCTCGACGTAAGTATTTTTTCTTTATCCTACACTGCAAAAAATGGAAAAATGCCTCGGTCTTAATTTAACACTAATTCTCTGTTCAATTCACTCCGAACGGTGTCCCAGAAAGTCCACACCATCCATGGTGTGGACTTTCTGGGAAACCGTTTAGTGTGAACGGGACAAGGAATCAATGTGAAATCAACACTGAGGCCATTATTCTATTTTTCACTCTGTATGATTTCATTACCACTCGAATAATTATTTTAATTTTTTTTTATTTCAGGGTGGCAATTACTTGGGATTTTTGCAAGATCACCTTGTAACTGTAATCGGTGACGATCCTGGTGACAGAGATATTTGGTTCCAGCACTATAGGGCTCCAGCTCATACGTGCGTGGCAGTAGTGGACCAGCTGAATGAGTGATTTCCGGATCGCTGGATAGGGAACCGGAACGATCGGGACAGGGGTAAACGTTGCCATCCACCTGTGGCTTGGCCCCCGCGATCTCCAGACCTCACTCCACTGGATTTTTTCTTGTGGGCTACTCTGGAGTCCCGGATATACCCTCACAATCCAGGAAATCAGGAGGAGATGACTGCAGTGCTGCACGCTGCAGTAGCCACTATCACTCCCGAAGAGCTACAACGTATGAGGGAGAATTTTCTGAAGAGAGCAAGACTCTGCATTGCAGCTGGTGGAGGACACGTGGAGAATGTTCTTTTGGATCATGGAGAAAACTGTCCTTTTGAGGGCAATGATAAAAATCGGCCCTTTTCATCCTCTCACGTGCAAAAGTGGCCATGGCCGTAGCCATGTGATGGTCAAACGTCATGAAGGTCACTTAGTGGAAAGTTAAACTTCACAAAGGTCATTTGGGAGGGAAGTCAAACGTTATAAGGGTCACTTGTGGATGGTCAAACGTGAGGAGGGTACCTTGAGGGAGAGACAAAAGTAAGGAGGGTCATTTGAAGAAACAATCAAACCTCACGAGGGTCACTTGGGGGAAAATAAAATTATTTTTAGATTCTGAGGCTCACAAGGCTGATAAGAATTACAAGTGGAAAAAGCCAATATAGGGACAATGGTGAAATTATGGATATCTCATTTAACACCATGTGTATTGTTGTAAGTAGCAACTTTGGAAATTGTTTCTGTTGTTGTCAAGCTTCTAGGCGATCTGAAATATTGCATCTCTTAAATTGTCAATAATTCAAATTTTCCGCGAAAACTATGACGTTTGACTCTCCCTCAAGGCACCCTTCTAAGGTTTGACCATCCGCAAATGACCCTCGTGAGGTTTGACTCTCCCCCAAGTGATCCTTGTAACATTTGACTCTCCATCAAGTGACCCTCGTGACGTTTGACTCTCCCCAAAGAGACTCTCGTGACGTTTGACCATCCGCAAGTAACCCTTGTGACGTTTGACTCTCCCCCCAAGTGACCCTCGTGACGTTTGACAATCCCCAACGTCAATCCCATAGCTACGACCATGGCCAAATTACCAAATAAACAATTGTGTCAAAAATGGGAAAGGGACGGGTTCTGATTTTCGTGGATTTTTTTGTTGCAAAACACTTTTTTACAATTATCTTGTAAACAAATGGGTTTACAACATTTTGCCATTCAATGTTTTTTGTAGGGAATCTAATTTCCTACAAAAAACGCCTGTTTGAAATTCAGCTATTCAAACTAGTCAAACGGTTACCGGGTTCAACGAAAATCTCGAGATACTTCGGGACCCTTCGAGGTCACGGTCAGCTACGAAGAAAATCGCCGAAAAAGTCAGTAGTATCGTTCTAGCCACCGAGAGAGTCACTCTAATCACAGTATTATATCGCCGTAACCGCTCAAACGAATACATCACCGGAGTACATCAACGCGATATATGTGAGTCTAGCTCTTCGTTCAGTGTCTCTATTTAATTTAATTCAATTATCAATTAATTCCGAGTTAACTATCAATTATTTTGAGTCAATCATCAAGTTCAATATCGAGTGAATCTCAAGTGCAATGCATTTTTCAAATGATCATTTAATTGACTTTGTCGAGCAACTCAACAGTGTAACATTAGTAATTTATCAAGACGCATGGGTTATTCTACAATAAAGTACATCAACATTGTGGTTTTATAATTCCGCGTGTTTTAATTTTCCACCTCCTTCCACAATTCCGCTGTTCCCCAACCGGCATCTCGATTTAGCTTCAATCTCAAACAAATGGTTCTTCGAGCCGGATATAGGGGCATAAGTGCATGGGAGTGAGTGGAAATTTCTAGAATAATAGGGACGCCTCGTGTGTAACGGACTTTCGGATTCCATACGAGCAAATCTACGGACAAGTAAAGAAAATCAACAGTACAGAGTGTTGTGCCTAGTGTTTACCGTTGAAGTTCGGTATTGTAAACACCGGTAGTGACACTTCGACCTCTAATGCTGTGCCACTTCGGAAAACCTCGGTCTCCGTCGGGACTAGCCGAGGCCCAAGCCGCGCGCGCAACGCGAAAACCAACAGGCAGTTGGAAGAGCGCCCTCACCTAATAGCGTGCCCTACCTTATCGACAATGGGTACCAAGTCAGCATCAGTCGGTATCTACCTATTATCGATAAGTTACCTCACCCAGAGCAGTAACGTCCACCATGTCAGACGCGGAGTTAGGAGATAATCAACGTATGCATGAATTATCCAGATTACTGAGCATCCATCTCAAGCGCACTTCAATGAAGAAATTACACCGCAGTTTCCTGACGCGACTTCCATTCACAAACAAGAAAATAAACACACTGGAGCCGAGATGGGAACTGCAATAGACGAACTCACAGAGACTCAGAAGTTCCAAACAAATAAACTGGACTTCAAGGTATTCACTTAATGATATTTATCACGAATTGTTGCAGTCAGCCGAGAACATTAGCAGTCTCACAGTCGAGGAGTCGGACGGCCAGGAGAAAATCATCGAAGGAGAATGGAATGAATTTCTCATCATCCAAGACAAACTCAGCGAGAACCTCCTGTCAACTCATCAACATATTCTTCAGAGCATCTATCAGAGGGCTTCAACGCTGAAGAAAATCTGCCTCAAACTCATCTGCCAGCTCAAGGGAATCATCAAGAAGAGGGAATCAACGAGTACATCAACAACATCAGGTAAAGCCAATCAACTCAAGAGAATTGGACTGAAAACATTCGAAGGAAAATACTCAGAGTAGAAGCAGTTCAGCGACTTGTTCCAGTCACTGGTGGGAAAAGATGATTCAATTCCCCGAGTGCAAAAGTTAGTACGCCTCAAGGAGGCTCTCAAGGGACAGGCAGCAAATGTTATCGACACCTTCACGGTGACCGATGAGAATTATGAGAAGGCTTGGCAGGGGCTAGTGAGGAAATATGAGGATCCCAGACTCATCGCTCAAGCACTGTTCAATAGGATCCTTAACCTCCCGAAGATCACCAAGGCAACTGCGGAGAACCTCAACGCCAATGCAGCGAAAGCCCTTGAGACGAGAGATCAGCTGATCACTATGACAGGCTTGTCCAAGGAGAGAGTCAGTGAGCAGATGATCGTTCATCTATTGAGGAAATCCTTGTATGCTGAAAATCTCAGAGCATGGAAATTGAAGCTAGGAGATTCCAAGGACTTCCCAACGCTGGAGAAGTTCAGCGGCTTCGTTGAATCCTGCGCAAGAGGAATCAATGCTGGAGCCAAGCTGACCACCGAGCCTCTAGCATCACCAGTCAAGAAGCAAGGAGCAACTCAACGTCAGAGAAAGGCTCACCTAGCAGTAACTCGACAGAAGGAGCCAGGAGACCCCACCAGACCGCTCCCCAAGGAGCACTGTGACTACTGCAAGGGACCACAGTTCATCGCGAATTGTCAGAGGTTCGTCGACCTGTTCCCCGTCAAGAGGAATGAGTTCATGGTCAGCACAAGGCTCTGTTTCAACTGCTTGGGCCCACATCTATTCTCAAAGTGCAGGTCCACCAAGACGTGTTTCAGCTGCAAGCGCAGGCATCACATGCTCATCCATGGTGGAAACACGTACACCAACGGCAGAGATGCTGAGCAGGCAGCTCCAGTGGACCCAACAAGTGGAGAAAATCCACAGACGGTCCAACCAGGAACGAGCTGGGCTGAGTGTATGTAAAAAATTAGTTTCATTCTCATTTAAAACACTCATTGATCGCTCTCAATTATACCTATCAGCATCTAGAGCATCACCAACACGACTCATCACCAATCAGGCGATCAGTACCTCAATATCGCCTGTCATCAAAGAGCAAATCACCAAGCAGCCAATCATCGAGCAGAGCAGTCATCATTCAGTAGCTGATCAGCAATATGTACTTCTAGCAACAGCCCAAGTACGAGCACGATCTCAAAAGGGCTTCCTTCTCAAAGCAAGTGCTCACCGATCAAGGCTCAGAGTTATCATTTATCTCTGAGGAACTAGTACATCAACTACAACTCTTACGAAGGTCATCAAAAATAGAGTTAATCGGAATACGAGAGACCAACTCCGGTTACACGAGAGGAGCAGTATCAGTACTGCTTCAAGCAGTCGATGGACTTCAACAGCAAGTGCAAATCAATGCCCACATAGACAAGAAACTCACCGTCAAGCTACCATCATTCTCGTGCTCACCAACGTGGATCGACCCTCCACAAGGTCTTCAACTAGCTGATCCAGACTATCTAAAACCTGGTCCAATAGACATCATCATAGGGACTGACAGCTATAGGGGGATCATCAAAAGCAGAGTCGTCAGGTCCAGAAACACTCAATTAGTTGGCCAACAACCAATATTTGGTTGGATACTATCAGGTCCAATCGAATGCAGTGGTTGTTCACCGAGGTTTTCTCAATCGACCGTAAAGGAATCTTCAAACGAGCAACTACAAGAGCTTCTTCAAAGATTTTGGCACCAGGAGGAATTACCAAAAAATTCCAACTCATCAGCAGAGCTATCATCAGATGAAATCGAGGGTGAGAAATTCTTCAAGTCCACACACACCAGAGATGAAACTGGGCGCTATATCCTCAGACTTCCTCTACGGACCTCACCAACAGCGCTCGGAGAGTTTAAATTTAAGGCCTCACGTCAACTCCAGTCAGTTGCACGTCGTCTCCAGACAGACGAATCATATTCTCAGCTCTACAGAGAATTCATCAACGAGTATGAGGCACTGGGACACATGCGCAAAGCCCCAGAAGCAGCAGAACCCGCCACAGCATAGTATCTACCGCATCACGGGGTTCTGAGAGAAAACGCACTCACCACGGAGCTGAGAGTCGTCTTCAATGGCCCAAGTCCTAGCTCATCAGAATTATCTCTCAATGATATCCTCTATCCGGGTGAGAAACTACAAGTTAATACCATGAACGTATTAACATGTCTCAGAAAACACAGAATTGTCTTCGGAACGGACATTGTCAAGATGTTCAGACAGATTCGAGTGCATCAAGACGATTGGGATCTCCAGAGAATTCTGTGGATCAACGAAAATCAGCAGCAGATCACCTACCAACTGACCACAGTCACCTACGGTCTCAATTGTTCTCCATGGCTATCTCTACGGGTTCTCCAACAATTAGCAGAGGATGAAGGACATCACTATCCAGTAGCCGTCTAGACACTCACCAAAGGTCGCTACGTCGACGATATCTACAGCGGAGCTGATACAGAAGATCACCTCAAAGAAATCGCATGGCAGTTACAAGGGCTCTGTCAAACAGGCGGTCTCGCTCTACAAAAGTGGAGCAGTAATTGCCCACATGTATTAGAGGAATTGGGAATCTCAACGAGTGAGGCAATCATCCAGTTCGAGGAGCCTATCACCAAAGTGCTCGGATTGTATTGGCATCAATCGTCCGATATATTTCGATTTAAATCAAAGCAGTTTGAGTCAGCGACAGTCACCAAGAGAGTAGTCGCATCAGAAATTGCTCAACTGTTTGATCCATTGGGATTCATCGCTCCAGTAATCACCCGAGGCAAGATAATCATCCAAGATCTCAAACTCACGTGGGACACACCACTTCCAAAGGAGTATGAAGATCAATGGACGAGCTTCAGAGAGAACCTCAACCAACTGAATCAAGTCTCAGTGCCAAGGTGGCTGAGACTCTCATCGCATACATCGAGCATCCAGATCCACGGGTTTGCAGATGCGTCAACAGCAGCCATGGGCGTATTGGTTTATACCCGCACCAAGCAAATCAATGAGCCAGCATCAACGGTAATGATGTGCGCTAAAACAAAAATAGCTCCCATCAAGCGCATGACAATCCCTCGACTCGAGCTAACAGCAGCAATCATGCTTACTCAACTAGTAGTTGCAACTCAGCAGATGCTGGAATTCAACGCAGTAGACACGTATCTATGGTATGATTCAAGTGTAGCCCTAGCTTGGATCAAGAGTCACCCATCGAGATGGAAGGATTTCATCCAAAACCGAGTGATCAAGATCCAGGAATCCCTACCAGATGCTACCTGGAGGCACATCAACGGTAAAGGAAATCCAGCCGACTGTGCATCCAGAGGACTATCACCACAGGAGCTAGCAGAACATCAACTATGGTTGTCAGGACCTGAGTGGATAAATCAGGAACCTGAAAACTGGCCAGTATCACCAATTGACTCTCCAGCCGAAGCATCAACAGAAGCAAGGCCAACTCCATCACATCAGACATCTATCAAGGTCAACGCGATAGCAGAGCTCCTCAACAGATACTCAACACTAGCCAAGGTCCTCCAAGTAAGAGCCACCTTGAACCGAGCCATCGACAGGTTCAGAAGACAGCCAGTCCTTTAAACACCGGTCCTAACTTCTAGGGAACTCAACAAAGCCAAACTGTTTTGGGAAAAATTACGCAATATCAATATTTTGCATCTGTTCCCAGGCTACTTGAGAGAGACCATCAAATACCACGGAGTCATCCACTAGCAAAGCTGACTCCAACTCTAGACAATGAGAGCATCATCAGGCTAGGTGGCCGCCTTAAGAATTCTCAACTAGACCCTGACGAGATTCACCCAATTATCCTGCCTCGTCAGTCTCGTTTAATAACGTTGGTCATCGAAGAAGCTCACCGAGGGACACTCCATGGAGGAACTCCACTCACCCTAGCCCACACATGCCAGAAGTATTGGATCATCGGCGGCAGATGCACTGTGAGAGCACATATCTCACGCTGCCCTATCTGCATCCGACATCATGGAAGACAGGCCCAGCAGCTAATGGGCCAACTGCCTGCAGTGAGAATATCACCTTCACGAGCATTTCTCCATACGGGGGTGGACTATGCTGGCCCATTCCCTATTCTCAAATGGCGACCCACAAATGCCCAACCATCTAACGTTCATATTGCAGTATTTGTATGTTTCAGTACATCAGCAGTCCATTTAGAGCTCGTTTCCAGGCAGACAACAGACGCATTCATTGGAGCCTATAAGAAATTCACCGGAAGGAGAGGCATCCCCGAGGTTATGCACAGTGACAACGCAACCACGTTCGTTGGGGCCTCAACAGTCCTCAACAAACTGTACAAGCAGCCATCCAGAGAGAATCAACGGATCCAAGCTGCTCTTGCCACCAACGGGACTCAATGGAGCTTTTCACCACCGAGAGCACCCCATTTTGGTGGCAAATAGGAGGCAGCTGTTAAATCAACGAAATATCATCTCAAAAGAGTACTTGGGTCGACGACATTCACCTACGAGGAACTCAACAACATCCTGATCCAGATAGAGGCCTGCCTCAACTCCAGGCCAATCACACCGATGTCAGATGACCCAGAAGACCTCAAGCACTCACCCCAGATCATTTCCTAATCGGTGAGCCACTACAGGTGATTCCAGAGCCATCAATCGTCAATGAGAACCCCAGCAAGTTGGAGAGATGGAATCTGATCACCCAGAAAATACAACAATTCTGGTCCAGGTGGTCCAGAGAGTGTCTTCAAAGGTACCAAGCTATCTACAAGTGGAATCAACGACGAGAGAACATCAAAATTGGAGACATGGTCCTTATGGTCGACGAGGACTATCCACCAGCAAAATGGCCACTCGGTAGAGTAGTGGCAGTTCACCCAGGAGAAGATGGCCTCGCAAGCATTGCAACCATCAAAACCTCACGAGTAGTAGTACCAACTCGACCAGATGGTACCCCCAACATCGAATCACCAGTACCAGCATGACATTCATCAGACCCATCACCAAGCTCTGTCTCCTATCCTCCACCAGCAGAACATCCCCCAGAAGACGATCCCGAGCCAGTCAACGAGTAATTATCGCAGAGAAGCAGCAGCAGAGAAATTCAACGCACAATTCATCATCCCTGATGATGAATGACCCCCGGGATATTTGAAATTCAGCTATTCAAACTAGTCAAACGGTCACCGGGCCCAATGAAAATGTCGAGAAACTTCGGGACCCTTCGGGGTCACGGTCAGCTACGAAGAAAATCGCCGAAAAAGTCAGTAGTATCGTTCTAGCCACCGAGAGAGTCACTCTAATCACAGTATTGTATCGCCGTAACCACTCAAACGAGTACATCACCGGAGTACATCAACGCGATATATTTGAGTCTAGCGCTTCGTACAGCGTCTCTATTTAATTTAATTCAATTACCAATTAATTCCGAGTTAACTATCAATTGTTTTGAGTCAATCATCAAATTCAATATCGAGAGAATCTCAAGTGCAGTGCATTTTTCAAATCATCATTTAATTGACTTTGTCGAGCAACTCAACAGTGTAACATTATTAATTCATCAAGACGCGTGGGTTATTCCACAATAAAGTACATCAACAGTGTGGTTTTATAATTCCGCGTGTTTTAATTTTCCACCTCCTTCCACAATTCCACTTTTCCCCAACCGGCATCTCAATTTAGCTTCAATCTCAACCAACGTCTTATGATGAAATAACCTAAATTCAGTAGTTTATTAAATAATTACAAAAATGTAATTAACATTGTTATGTAATTATTTAATAAACTATTAGGTTTACGTTATTACACCATAGAACTTTTTTTGTAATAAATTTGATTTTCTACAAAAAAAGTTTTTTTGGCAAAATGCTGTGAACCCATTTGTTTACGAGATAATTGCCAAGACATTTTTTTTTCAGCAAAATTTCACGAAAATCGAAGACCATACTCTTCCCATTTTTGAGGTCATCGTTTGATTTTGAATTATCTTTTGAATAAAGGATTTTACTGTCGAATGATTGACAAATACAATGAGCCTTCTGCTCGATACACTCACACAGAGAAGACAGTCCAGCTATTATACTCGATGTACTGTTGATATAAAGTCAGTTGAAATATACCTGTCGTGCTAAATACGTTTATCCCAAAGTATTGTCTTTTCGTACAGTAGTTCGAACCGTAGTTATGTTCCTCAACCTAATTATTCATAGTTAACACTACGTGAACCTTCCAATATATTCAACATTTACCGGATTTTGTGAATAAGCCTTTTTTGTGGTAAATTTAATTTACAACAAAAAATATCTTAAGAGAAAATTCCATAACTCTTTTTATTTTCGAGATAATTAGCAATCAAACAGTTGTCTCAAAAATGGGAAAGGGACGGGCTTTGAATTTCGTGGATTTTTCNCCACTCGGTAGAGTAGTGGCAGTTCACCCAGGAGAAGATGGCCTCGCAAGCATTGCAACCATCAAAACCTCACGAGTAGTAGTACCAACTCGACCAGATGGTACCCCCAACATCGAATCACCAGTACCAGCATGACATTCATCAGACCCATCACCAAGCTCTGTCTCCTATCCTCCACCAGCAGAACATCCCCCAGAAGACGATCCCGAGCCAGTCAACGAGTAATTATCGCAGAGAAGCAGCAGCAGAGAAATTCAACGCACAATTCATCATCCCTGATGATGAATGACCCCCGGGATATTTGAAATTCAGCTATTCAAACTAGTCAAACGGTCACCGGGCCCAATGAAAATGTCGAGAAACTTCGGGACCCTTCGGGGTCACGGTCAGCTACGAAGAAAATCGCCGAAAAAGTCAGTAGTATCGTTCTAGCCACCGAGAGAGTCACTCTAATCACAGTATTGTATCGCCGTAACCACTCAAACGAGTACATCACCGGAGTACATCAACGCGATATATTTGAGTCTAGCGCTTCGTACAGCGTCTCTATTTAATTTAATTCAATTACCAATTAATTCCGAGTTAACTATCAATTGTTTTGAGTCAATCATCAA